GCAGAACAAATTGGAAGTACAGCTGTGCTGGAGACAGGATTCCCAAGCCAAGCCCATGAAGCTATAGCAATAAATAGTTTTCCAGGGGAGTATGCTCCAAAGTCTAATGTTTATGATTTCCTCTGCAAGAGCCCCTAGGGAAAAGGGCCATGCTTTCATGTGGCATTTTCCAACCTCGCAAAGCAGCCCCTTCCTTATCCAGCCATCCTGACCCTGTACTTCTCTCTGAGGAATTAGTAAACTGTCTCTTGAGGAGGCCACTCTTGCCACAGCTCTGGCACCTCTGCTGAGAGGGTGCTCAGAGCGTGAAAGGGGTTTTTTTGTTTGTTTTATTGCTTCATTGATAAAGCCTATGCTTGGAGAAAACAAGTGAAATTTGAGATGCCTCATACAACTGGGACAAAGAGGCGTTAGTAGACAGCTGCCTTTATAGGCAATAGGGTTATAAATTCAAAAACTTACTCAGCCTATCCGCTTTTCTGTATCTCTAAATGGGTTTTCCAGCATTAATGGGATCTACCTAGCCTGCCTCTTTCTAACAGAGGTTAAGCTGTCGTTCAAGGTATTCATAGTGTTCATAGTGGCGATTTCAGCCAGTTGTTAGATTTATAACCAAACGTAAACTTTCAGTACTGTATTAGTCAAGGTTCCCCAGAGAAATAGAGCCAGCACACATAGTTGTGCACCATATAACAACGTATCAGTCAATGACAGATCAAATACATGACGGTGGTCCCATAAGATTAATACCATATATCTTAGGTGTGAGTAGGCTATACATCCAGGTTTGTGTATGTACACTCTGTGATGTTTGCACAACGACGAAATCGCCTGGCGACACATTTCTCAGAATGCATCCCCATAGTTAAGCAACACATGATTGTGTGTGTGTATGAAAAGATTTATTATGAAGAATTGGCTCACGTGAGTATGGAATATTTAATCTGGGCACCACTTGGCCCAATTAAGTTGACTCATAAAATTAACTATCACAAGCCCCCTTGGAAACCATGCATTGTAAATGAGGAATGCATGTGTGTCATTCTCCCCACCATCATGCTAGAAGGCATGGGATATAAAATATCCTAATTGAGAGGACTGTGTTAACAAGCCTTTCTCTCACCCAGCACCCCTGACAAGAGAGTCCTGAATTGCAAGGTAATGGACAGCTGTGTCAAAATTAAGGGCCAACCTAGACTTCTGAATGAGGAACCACTGCAGGCACGGGGAGCTTGAGACTAATTTGGATCCTACTGAAAACACTCTAAGCACCACAGGACAGAAGAACAGTCAGATCACACACGGCTTCCAATCTGGTGCCCAGAGATGCTCTCTAAACAGAACCCATTGCTCACTTAGAACTCTTCAGGGAAGGACAGACGGCAAATTGGGAGCAGTGGATAGCTCCAAAAATTATAAGTACAGTGGGGAGGGAAGAGAGAGGTGCATTTTGCATGTTATACGTTAACCTGTTTAAGAGGTTATAGAGTATGCTGGTTTCTGTAAAAGAAGTATGGGAAAACAGGAATATGTCTACGTGTTTATTTTCTTTTTGTGGAAAGGAAAAGTAGGTAGGATAAACTAGAATGAAAATGAAAACAGGTAATGAAAATGATTGCCTATAGAAAGTGGTGTGAATGGGTGGAGGCGATATAGAAAGCAATGAGATTTCTGCGAGTGTATCTTTTTATATAGTTTTGACTTTTGAACCATCTTAAGATTTATATATCCAAAAAATAAAAATCACAAATGATGCAAAAAGCAAACTCTAAAATGGAATACAAATAGAAACAAGCGATCCTCACTACATATCAAATTTAAAACACATATATAGGACGAAAAATAATTATTTCAAGTAATTCAAATACAAGGGGATACAATCTAAGAAGAAAAGTTGCAAAGAAATTGTGAAACTTACAGTTAGGCGTGCTGTTCTCAGTGGTATTAGTGTGGTAATTTTAAAACTATTTCATTTGTGATGTAATATTGACTAAATGTGTAAATAAATTAATGTTATAGGAAGCCAGTGTTCTCACTGTGAGAGAAGGGAGATGCAAATATGGAATGAGAGGAGCTCAGGAAAAATTCTATGATGTTCAACGTGAATTGGATATATAAGTATGAAGTTTGTGTCTATGTATTTCTGAAGACCACTCCCCACTAGCAGGAACCAGAATTCCTTGAGAAACACTGATTCCAGGCCCAGACAGGGAAAGAATAAGATGAGCCTAACACCTTTTGTGCCAAGTAAGCAAGCGTTCAAAGACTGATGGAGAACACACGAGCTGTCCTGAGGGCTCTCATTGTCCAAACTTGGGGCAACTGGGGAAAGAATAACAACGGTAGTAAATTACAACATTGAAAAAGTGCATAAGTCAATACTGACACTTGAAAAACAGAGAGAGAGAAGGAAGGGGAGGGGTGGGGAGGAGAGAGAAACAAGAACGAAAGGGAAATCTCTCTCTGCAGAAGAATGCCAACTAGTAAATGTAAAAGGACTAATAAAATTAGAAACCCCTCCAATGTAATAACTGATTCAGGCAAAGATCATCAGTGCATGTTAAAAACAAAATCTCAAGGTATCACCCCACAGATTACTTATTAACTGGGAGGGGCAGGAGTTGGAGGGTGGGATTTGCATTTCAATGGAGAGATCTGGCAGTCACCACCCTATCCTTAGTTTAAATAGTCAAGTTTGGCATGCCCAACAGTGGGGCAGCTAACATTTTATGCCTTCTTGTGTGATACAATGAATACATAGAACATTATTTACGCATGGCACTTACGGTGCCATAGTTGTTTGACCTGAATCTAATAATGAGGAAACTATCAGACCAATCTCAGACCCTTCAAAAGCTTCAGTGTCATGAAGAACAGAGAAACACTTGGGAATCATTCTAGATCAGAAGAAACTAAAGAGACATATAAGGCAATGCCATAGCAGAAAGCTACCCAGGACATTGTTAAGACAATGGGGAATATCTGACTGTGGACTGTGTGTTGGGCGATGATACTAAATTCATGCCAGTTTCCTTAGGTTTGTTTATGATGTGGTTGTGTGAGAATTCTTTTTCCTGGAAGATGCATGCCGAAGTATTTAGGAGTGAATGTCATGCTGTTTGCAGCCTACTGATGAACGGTTTGAATGGTTTAGCACAAAGGCCGTGTGTTTATAGAGAGAAAGTGACGTGGAGGTGGTGTCGCAATAGGTAAGCAGTTGGAAAATCTAGGTGAGGAGTACATAGTGTTCATTACAGCTTTCAAAACATTATACGGTTTTTCCTTAAGTTTTCGGTGGATTTCAAATTTTTCTAAAGAAAAAAATAATTTACTTTTAAAAAAGAGATTTGCCAAGCCACCACTCAGGGATTTCCATGACCTCCCTGGACCTCCTCTTCAAAAGGCAGAATTTTGTTGCCACGATCTGAGTGTGCTTTGGGGAAGGATCACGGAGGCTCCTGTCCTCAAACATCCCCAGCCTAACACCCCCGGGTGCTCTTTTGAGAACGGATTCCTAAGCGTCTTGCAGTAAACTCTAGCTTCTATAAGATGTATGTGCTGGCGTGTACCTCCGTTGCATCCTTGTCAACTCAATCTTTCACGTATCCAGGGTGTTCTGCAATAAAACCCTATTAACTAGAGCACTGGGTTATTCATTTTTCCAGGCAACTAATGTGGAACCCCCAGAAAACATTTTTGCAGCATTTCTCCTCCAATCCTTCGTGCCGATGCAATTTTTTCAGGGTTTACTTTCCTGCCTTGGCAAAGTCAGGCTAAAGCTGTCCAGGAAAACTGAAGCACCACAAGACCCTAGTAGCATTTACATCCTATACCAGATTGTTCCAGTACCTACAGGGGGAGGGGTTGTGGGAATCTGTACTGATCCCAGAAAATGCCCTGGAAATTCCTTTCACAATTAAATCTCCTCGTGAATTTATTTTTCTCGCTATTTCTATTTTTTCTGTTATACAAGATTATGGCAGTTCCAAATAGCCAGGGATCCAATTAATCCAAGTTTCAGTTCCTTTCTTTAATAACAGACTTGTGAGGAGGGTTCTAGAACATGTTTTGTCAGTTCTCCAGGATTACACAGCCATTTTCTAGAATCAGATAAATATTTACTAATAAGTTTAGGATTTAGATGCTTATGAATGTCTCACATTTTAAGTATATATGGTATGATTTAATTAGGTCATGAAATTGGGAAATATTTTACCTTAGATGTTTCCTGTTATTTTAATATGATTTTTCCTATGCCATAACATTGTTTAAAAGTGTTCAAGGACTTTTATTTCTAAGACTGACTGTATTTTCCTCCTCTAGCTTTATATTGTACTTCACAACAAGACGTTGATTCCCAAACTCGGCAGAGTCCAGGCAGAAGGCAAACACAAGTGCTGTCATCTACAGATGAAGGATGCATCCCATGGTATCACCATAACCCAGGGTTCTCAGCTGTGAGGGCTGTGTCACGCACGGCAGGATGGTTAACAGCATCCCTGGTCTCTAACCACTAGATGCTAGTAGCACCCTCCACTCCGGTCATAAAGGAGACAAGCAAAAATGTCTCCAGACAGTGCCAAATATTTCCTGGGGGGTAACATCACCCCAAGTTGAGAAGCACTGATGCCATCCACATAAGGAATCGAATCAGAAACAATGAAATAAAATTAAACCCCACACCATCTCCAGTTCTTACGCTACAGCCCCCTATCGTTATTCAGAAAGGTAGCATGGTATCACTGAAGAACGCTAAATTAGACACTAGAGACATGGAATCTAATCCTGAATCTGACCCGTTCTCGTAAATGTTGGGCTTCATGACTTCCCTGAGTCTTCTAGTTCCTCATCCACAGAATAGGAACCATGCAAGTCCCACCCACTCCCAGGACTGAGGGTTACAGAAATAAAATACCATCCTGTATGCGTTAGTCAGCCTGGGTTGCTAAAACAAAACATCACAGACTGAGTGGTTTAAACAGCAAACATTTATCTCTTACAGTTCTGGAGACTGGAAGTCCAAGATCAAAGTGTCTGCTGATTTGGCTCCTGGTGAGAACTCTTTCCCTGGCTTGCAGATGGCCGCCTTCTTGCTGTGTCCTCACATGGCAGAGAAAGACCTCTTTGGTATCGCTTCTGAAAAGGGTACTAACCTCATCATGGAAGCCCCACCCTCAGGAGCTTATATAACCCTAATTATATCCCAAGGCCCCACCTCCAAATACCATCATCACATTGGGAGTTAGGGTTTCAACATACGAATTTGGGAGAACGCAAACATTCAGTCCATAATAACGTGCAAGTGCTTGGTAAACAGAAAGGGTTCTAAGGTTATGAGAGAACCAACATCTATTGAACACAGGCCATGTGCCAAGCAATTTAAGATTTTGTTTAATTCTCACAATCCTCTGAGATAATGCCATTTCCCCTGATTTTACAGAGTAGGAAACTGAAGCCCATAGGAAGTTATATTCTCAAGCTTATCGTGCTGGTAAGTGGCAGCACTTGGCGGCTTGAAACCTTAGCAGCAGCCCCTCTCCCATCCAGCACTCCATGCTGCTCCCTGCGACGCACATGACCTCTAGGGACCTATGGCCTCGACACAGATCTTTGCAGTCAACTGATGTAAATTCTGTCTTATTAGCCGATACTTTAAATATGTGTATGTTTGTTCATGTATGTGGTAGGCAAAATAAAAATTTTTGTTTAGAAAAAATCAGGAGTCAATCATTCTCTCTTGAAAAATTAATATATATGTCTTCCTCCTTTTCCCCCTTCTTATACCTACTCCTCACCCTTGATTCCTTTCTAGCATTATTTACACACAATATAGTAGGGGCCAGTTGCAATACACCCATGGCAAAAAGCAACAGACAGACACTATATTTTTAATGAGAGATATAGATAGATAGATATAGATATAGATACTGATATAGATATAGATATAGATAAATAGACAGATATAGATATATAGATATAGATAAGTATAATTCTTAGCCACAATTCTGGGATTTTTTTTTAAATAAAGACTCTGTGATTTTGAACAACTTGAAAAACTTGTAGTCTAGAATACTCTGGGATCCAAGCCTTCAGAAACCAGATATTACCAAACTCAGATGCCTGCATCAAACTGAGGGACTTTAATATTTTCGTGTGTTGACATATAGAGATGAAAACACTCACAGAGCCATCCCAAGAGCTAACGCTCTGCATATAGAGCCAAAAAGGACCAGGAATTAAGTAACAAAATAAGCCCACAACAAAAAGTGCTTGTCAAATATTGGGGGGGGGGAGGGGGGGGAGAGCACACTTCTGTTTGTTTTTCTTTTTGAGACCAACGCAGGGAAGAAGGAGGAAGCAACAGCGAGAGCACAGAGACTGACGGATTTGCACAATCGCACAGAGCCCCCGCCTCCAAACCCGGTTCTCAGGCCTCCCCATTCTCGCAACGCCCGCAGAGTTGGCACCCGGCCAGAGGCCAGAAAGAGGGAAGGCAGTCATTCCATCCAGAGCGTGAGCACTGAGGGCCCACTCCAGCTGTGTGACCTTGTCACTCACTTCGCTTCTCTGGGCCTTCTCCTGTAAACCCCCAGCAACGCCTCTACCTAGTTTCACCTGTGAACGATGGCATGGATTCCCAGTTCACGTCCGTGGCCTAAGGAATGGTTCTGCCAATAGAGCAGAGGTTTTTCCCCAACACTTTCACTGCCCCTAAAACTAGAGCCACTGAGTGGTCTTCAGTGCAGTGTGACTGACAGAGGTAGGTAAACTCTCCTGTCCCCTAAGCGTGTCTGTGCTAAATGCCTGAAAATCTTCTATTAGCTACTCTTCCTGAGACCTGCTAAATGCTGTACTCTGAGAAAGATCACAAAACGAACCCATTAACAGTAGAGTGTGTGAGAACAGCTGATCCCTGGAGACACCCCCAGCATCAAAGTTGGTCGTTCCTGAAGGAGAGGGCGAAAGGCAGAGAGCAAGGCTGGAGGCCCGGCTGGCCTGGAACGTGCCCTACATGCAGGACAGAGGAGGAAGGGGTCTTCACCAGCACAGTCCAGCGCCCCACCCAAGTGCTCAGGTCCCTTCCTGAGGGTACAAGACATTGTCGTGGGGGAGAAAACACTACTGCCCTGAGAACCCAGAGGGCAGATCCTAGACCCGCTTGGCTGCTAATCTAGCTGCATGACCTCAGGCAAGGCACCTCAGATCTGGTATTAAGTTCTCTCATCTTTAGAATGAGTATGTAAGATTATATAAAACCTATGGTCCCTTCAACCTTGAATATTTTACAGTATTTTTGTCCTACTTTTCTAGAGGCTCTACCCTCATCACAGCAGAATCGCCTCCTCCCTCGTCTCCCCTGCAGAGACGCGTGGTATGGCGGCGGGACCATTGTGTTATCACGCCAGTTTACGTCAGTGTTGATCTCCCTCTGCTGAGCTGGAAGCACCTTGAGAGTAAGGACCTTGCCGTATTCCTTTGTTCCCCTAGCACACGGGCTAGCGGAGATTATGTATGCAATCAATGATCGATGGAAAGGCCTTTAAAGTATAAAGCGCTACACAACTATAACATATTATTTTTACCTTTTTTTACTCTAAATAGCCATGGGTAGCCCTGGCCAAGGCCTTTCAAAGTTGTCTGGGAAACTCCAGAACTGAAAATCCAGCCCTTGCAAAACCTGTTTTGCTGTTTTCTCTTTTAAAAGAACATATTGCCTTTATGTTTTTTTAAGCCAAGAATGAAATAAAAGCTCTTTCTCAAGTCCCCCACTAGAATTCAGTGTAGAGGAGACTAAATCGAGATGGCTAAAATCAAACCGCCAAACCAAAGCTACACCAGTGATGGGCGAGGTGGGTCGTGTGCTATAATCAGCTATCCTATCCCCACTGTTGCTCTTGGCCACACCTATCCCTGTGCTTTCTGGCCCAGAGTTGTCTGAGGCTTTTGTGGCTCAGACTGCACCATAAACAATTGTTAGGGAAAGCTCCTCTTCAGGTAAATCATGTTTGAGTTTATGCAAAGCCTGGAGCTTTGGGCCCTGGTCCAGGGAAAGCTGAGTTGAAAGCTATCAACATTCTATGGTTCAACCATCATCCACCACCCTCTGCCAGGTAGCTGGTTTTAAACAATCCAGAGAATTTGTACAAGGTCATTTCCCAGACAAAAGGAAAACAGCCAGGTGACTGACCAGCAGTGAACAGGAGCCATACTTAACAATAGGGGAGTCTTCAAGCATGAAGGTTTAGATTGGGTTCAGATAATCACCCAAAGGTTGAAAGACATTCTCAAAACCTCGTGGGGTTCCAAATTTAGACCACCACTTGGCTGAGAATAAGTTGAATGAAGCTTCCTTGGATGGAAGCCATCATTCCTGTTCCAGGTTGGCCCCAAAGACAACAGATAAAGAGGCTAAAGATAAAGAAAACAATAAACTCTAGCAGGTAGGATTGAACAGATGGGTTGAAAAGCTTGGAATGATAGATGGATAGAAAGATGGATGGAAGATGGATGGACAGACAGATAAATAGAAACAAATATAATAGAGAGATATATGTCCTTATGTGTGTGGCAAGCAGCCATGCTAGAGCATTCCTATTTTATGACAATGAATAAACCTGGCTTTTGCCAACAAAAAGAAGAGTTTGGATCAAGAACCAATGGTTGAAAAAAATAAGTAGATAGATAGATATGGATAGATAAGAGAGAGAGAAAGAGAAATTTTGAGATAATTTCATGGCCAACAGGTATTTTCCCCTTCCCGCTCCCAGAGCTGAGCACAGTGCTATCGGAGGAAGAGGAAGCAATCGAATGGCCTAGGGAGGTCAGTTGTAGTTCAAGATCCAGTGATTGATCACGCCCTTCCTAATCCTGATGCTGACGCAGCTCCCTAGAGCAGCATCTCCCCAAAAAGAGAAGTGGAAGCTGCTCAGCATCTGCAAAATGTACCTAGCAATCCATGCTGGGGAGAAATGCTCATCTATGGCTGCACTGTTTTTTCAATTGAAAGGAAGACTATAAAATTATCATAATAATCTCTATTTTATAGTATTTTATGATTGACAAAGTACCTTTACTATACTTATCTTTCTTGACCCAGCCACTCTGTGAAGCAAGCAGAGAAAGTTTCTGTTGGTGGTTGGTGGGTTGTTTTTTGGATATTTCCCATTTTAAAACAAAAAAAACTGAGTCCTAAGGAAAGTAAATGCCTTCAGTAGGATCACACAGGTCATTAGAGGCAGGTGGGATCAGAACTCAGCTCCCCTATCTTGGTCCATTTCTTTACCCATCACTCTATGCATGTGCGTTCACTGCTCAAAGGGCTCTGCAGAAGGCTCCCATTAGAAATGTCTGACCCGGAGTCAGGCACAGGAGGGTTAGAAGCATGCTTGTATGTATTTTGTTTGTTTGCTTGTTTTGCTTTTTATATACCATGTAATCTTGATCAAATCATTACCTCTGCTGTGAAATCTAGGTTTCTTTTCCAGTGATTTCCTCAGGGTTAATACAATGACTCAACATTGCAAGAACAATGAAAGAGACATAGTCTGCCCTCAGATTCTGATTCAAAATCAACTCACATCTAATGAGTATCAGCTACATGTCAGGTATTAATAGGTATCCTTTGTTTTTTGATCCCTACAATGAGCTCAAAATGTAGATATAATTTTCCCCATTTTACAGAGGAGGAAACTGAGATCGAAAGTGGTAAAGTTACTTGCTCAAGGCAGCACAGCCACCAATTGCCTTGATTGCTAAATACAAGGGTGAAACGAATGGAATTGGTAATATGTCCTATGGAAATTGGGGGGGAGGTGAAATCGTGTCCACTCGGAGTCTTTCAGCAAGTGTGTGTTCAATGCTGAAGGACCACAGAGGCAATCCTAGGAGCTTGAAGACGAGTGGGACAAGGATCTCCCAGCCTCCCTTTGTAGGAGGGGATGGCACACCTGGGCTGTCTTTTGGGCAAATAAGGACAAAGTGGATAGTGATACAGAGCTCAGGAAGCCAAGATTCCAGACTGTTTTAACTGGACACTGCCAAGGAGAAGGAGACCCAGGTCGGAGGGAAGAGAGTGTGGGAGAGCAACCAGCCAGTGTGGGCTGGGTTTTAGGAAGAAGTTTGGGGAAATGTTGAGAGAGTGAAACATGAGATTAAAGACAGCTGCT